TGATTGTCCCACTTTTGCAATTCAGCCTTCCTAAGCCCTATGCTTCTGATTCATGGGCCAGAATTCCATCCCAGAAAAGAGATTTCCAGTTAAAGAAACCAACTTTACAACTGTGTCAAGGAGACTTCCTAATAGCTTCACTTAGGTATTTCATAACTTGGGAAGGGAAATGGAAGTTTCATTAATAAATTTATATCGAAATCAAATTGATTGTATAATTAATAGATCCTGTTTTGTTTTGTTCGTGTGTGTAGAAGTTAGCAACCCCTTTCATGGAGAATATGCATTACTGGCATAGAGCCCTGAGCAATGACATGAGGTAGTCACTAGGTTAGCTTGCCACCCTTCTGTAGATCCAAGTGGTAAGGAGACATGAATCCAAATGGCAAAAGGAAGTCCACCATGGTTTCAGCTCCCATGACCCTAGAAGGGTACAGACTAGGATGAGACAAATGTGGTGTTTAGGGAGGTAAATTTAAGGAGGCTCTCACTCTTATGATCATGCAAAATAACTCAGGATGTATGCCTCCTTAAATTTTGCACCATAAGCACCTACCTATCTCACTCAAATTCTGGCCTTGGATTCCAAACCCACAGGACAACAATAAACTGGATGAACCAGATAACAGGAAACAAGAGAGGTAGGCTTCTCTGTTAAGGGGTAGCCAATTCCATACTGCATCTAAGTAGGCTTATTTACTGTAGATGGAACTGGTATGGGAAGGTGTGAAGTGGGCAGCCCCAGGCCTCTTTAGTGCCCAGGAGGCTGAGGAAAAACACCTATTTAGAAGCTCCGCCTAAGAATAATCTCCCTTGCAATGTACAGGGTGGCCCTCAGGACACTTGCTTACAAAGTCAATGTGGACATATCAAAAGCCACCAGGTATAAGGTGAAGCTGCTCCTCTAGTACCGATATTGGAAAGCATGGTGTCTTATGGGTATGGTGTCTTATGAACATGTTTTGTAATCCAACTTCTTAAAAGCTACATGCCATGCTATTGGTTATATTATCTATCCTCCTAAGTAGAAAAGAAATAACTTGCTTATTAAGAAGTTATCATTAATGAGTACAAAGCATTTACAACTGGCACATAATAAATATTCAGTAAGTAGTAGTTATTTTATTAGCTATTAGATGCAAATGATGAACTATACACAGTATACCGTATAAATAAAAGTTTGTTTTTGCTTTAATCAAATAACACTACAATAGTAATTTTTAAAACTTTCTAGAAAGCCAATGCTTTTACTATTTGATATCCTATCTGTTGTTGGGCATAGAAAAATACATTTAAGTAACACTGTGGCATTGTCAAAGATTTTACTTTTACAGATAAAATATTCCATAACATTCAAAAAGATTGACTTATTTTTAGTTATCATTTAAGGGTTATAGCAATGTATAGTTTCATAGTTCCTCAAAAGTTTTGTTTATTTTACCCATTATCTTGTTATGCATTCATGCACATTTGTTCATTATTCACACCTGAATAAAATTCTTTTTGCATCAAATGATAAGCCATGTTTGACTTGGGCTTCTTTCCAAGTAGGACACTCTTACTTGCTTTACAAAAATAGAACATAAGCTCAAAAATTGTTTTATAATTGAATGAGTTAAGGGGATAAAAATGCACATTTATGGACTCTTTAGAATCATAAAGTCATGGTTTATGTTAAATTCAACACTTTTAAAAACAACACATATCAATACCTTTTTTCACTCATTAAAATTCTTTTTTTCAAGATCATGATTAACATGAAAAGTTTAAAATTCTTAAAAATCGGAAAATGGGCACACTTATCTATTATAACAAGGACTGTTCACGATTTTTGTAAAAAATAATTACAAATTTTATGAACTAAATTCTTAAAAATGTTTGTTACCTGAATTGATTTCTACATTTTCTCATAGTTGCATTAGAATTCCAATTGCTAATATAATATATATGCCTTCCTATGCCTGTGAAGACAGACATATATTATCTCAAAATGTATTTAACATCATTTCACTTCATTTTAAATATGGTTGGTAATAATTTTTCCTATGAATAGATTTTTGATTTTGTCATTGTCACAACAGGAATATTTATCAAGTATGATAAACTGGGTATTCTAATTTGTATTAATCTTACCTTTTAGCCATTTGATACCTAATGTCAAACCACATCATGGAATTCTAAAACAAATTTGAAGTTACATTTTGTCTTTGAATTCAATTAGGTTATTCATTTTATTTGCTAATTTATAAATATATCTCATTCTTTTATTACATAGGACATACATTACTTAATAAGAACATTAAGATAAATAATAACATTTAAGATCAGATAATTTAAGTGATTTGATTCCTTTTGGTGTGTGTAACACTGGAATAAGTAATTTCAACAGGAAGATGAGGAAAGGTCCTTTACAAATTGACCTAACAATAGAGAGATATTAATGGGGACATTTTGGCTTTTGAGAGCCAGAAAGCTGTCTTAAACTGAGTTAAAGGCAAAGAGAACATCTAGTTTCAAACATTCCTCAAATAAAATACTCTAGAACAGACTACCAGATTCTATATCATCTTTATTTTATGGCAGACTCCTTTAACAGTTGAATAGTTGAAGTCATTTTTACAACTCTTTTTGTTGTTGCTTTGATATCAGGAATTGAACCCTAGTGCACGTAATCACTGAGCCACATCTTCAGCCCTGTTTTGTATTTTATTTAAAGACAGGGTCTTGTTAAGTTGTGTAGGGCCTCCCTGAGTTGCAGAGGCTGGCTTTGTACTCCTGATCCTCCTGCCTCAGCCTCCTGAGCCACTGGGATTATAGGCATGCACCACCCTACCCAGCTACAAGCCTCTTTTAAAGCTAGGATGGGGGAGGAAAAGGGGTAGTTCCTCAAAAGCTTTCTGGATAAGTGGGAAGTGTATCTATGTCTGTATACCCATACACACTATATGTGAGTGTGTGGGTGTGGTGTCTGTTATTAAAAAGACAACTTAATAATTATCTTGGTGAATCGTCCTTGTGGTTGCCTTATCATTTGTGACACTCAATATAATATGCACAAAGAAATTTATCATCTATTGAGTTCCTCTCAAAGTCAGCATCTTCACATGGAAACATACACCACACTTCCTCCCCTCCTGCCTTTAGTGTTTCAGTAACATCCTATCTCAGCCCCTTATATATTGTAAAGATTTCCCATTCTGCATCTGGGGATGTAGCTCAGTGGTAGAGCACTTGCCTAGCTCAGTCCCAGTGTTCAGTCCCCAACATCACAAATAAAGATTTCCCATTCCTTGTATGCCAGGAGAAAATGATATGGTGAAGTTCTGAGTGAAGAGTAGGAGAGAATCCCAAGACAGAGCAGTCTTCTTTTCTTACTTGGTCAAACTTTATTGACTCCTAATGGCAGGGGCACATGTTCATAATACCAGCTCCCTTCTCCTCTTGCCAAAGGAAATAGAATATCACCTTTCCAAGATCCTGGAGAAGCAATAGCAGCAGCCCGTATCTATACATGCCACTCTGAAGATTGGCCTCTAACCTCCTCTCTTAGAAGACCAGCTGAGCACAGTCATGACTCCTCTTAGGACTAGCAAGCCAAGCTTCTGCCAGTAGCCTAATTATATTGAGGGTGAAGAGGTGTTTAGCTGTTAGGATCACTGTCACAAGGAAGGTGTCTGGGACTCCCTCAGAAAAGCCCCCACAAGTAATTTCAAGAAAGATACCTATGTTATTAATTCACTTAAATGATTTCAAAGTATTGGTTGTTTCTCTAATCATAGACATCTAATTTTCTTTTATTTCAATCTTGATTCATTTATCTTTCTCTTTTTACTTTCTTAATGAAATGTTATTTACCTGGTTTACTTGTCCCTCCTATTTAAACCATATGCAAACAGGTAAGAAATGATCAGGTCACAAGAAAGAGCGTTTTTAGTAAAAAGTGTAATTCTCCAGTGTAGTTCTAAACTCCTATCCAGCAGCCTTTGAACACACAAGGGTGGATTTGTTTTGTTTTGTTTTTTATATGTGTATGATGTGCTAATTTTTTCATTGTGATTGATGAGAGGTCTAAATCAATTACAAACACTAAAAATGTGGGAGATAGGTGGTACTGTGGACTGTAATGGATCAAATTATAGTCCATGCTTGAATGATTATGTGAAAATGAACCCTAATTTTATGTGTAACTGTAATCCACCATGGAAACATTTTTAAAAACTAGCTAGATTTTATTTTAAAACATCAAATTCTAGTTTCTTCTGAAAAATCTAATTATTGGCATGCCTAACACCAAAGCCATATAACTGATAAGATTTAGTTGTGGTTGTCCCTATAAACAGGGCACAGCCTCCACAGCTTATCACAATATTACCTATTTCCCTACTTATGATCACCTTGACAACTGTAGTCATTACTCAGGCATGACCTTCTGTGGTTACTGATTCGAGATTAGAAATTGATCTCTATAACAGAACAGCTAATCTTTATCTCCTTGTATCCTCTCTCTATATAGTAATAGAGTAGATCATAGATAATTTAAAAATTTTGTAGGTTAGGCATTTTCCATAAGATTTATGTTATGATAATTCAAGGTAATTTTTTTCATATTCTGCTCTCACTTGGATTTTTAAAGATGTAACATCTATTTTCCTGTCTTGTCCCATTTTATTTGCATATTTCCATATATATATATATATATATATGTGTGTGTGTGTATATTTTCTCTTATCCTCTGTGTGTGTATGTGTATATATATATATATACACACACAAACACAAGTATATATGTATATACTACAGACTCTACAGAGATGAAAAAATTATATATATCTTTAGATACAACCTATTTGTGTAGTACTAATTGAATGTCAGATTGTAAAAAGAAGAAGAGTCGCTGAACTGCCCTAACATTACAATTGAAGATAGTATTATGCTGTGGGACTGGGGAATGCTCCATGCTATTGAGTAGCCATTTTACAATCACACCTCTCCCCTTTACAGGATATCGAATCCCTAACAGGAGGGCTGACTGGTTCTAAGGGGGCTGATCCACCGGTAAGTTAGATTCTTCATTAAATTTAAGTGTTGACAAATTGAATTGTGTATATGCCAGATCATCAGATGACTGTTTATCATATGCCATATATAAGTACTTTTTTGAAATATAGCTATTGTAGTAATTAACTCAAAAACCTGAATTTGTTTTGAAGTGTGGTCTGGTGTTTTAAAATGTTGTAATTACTCATGAAATCCATCTCCATTTATTCATTTATAGGCATTGAAATATGAACAAAAACTTCATTAGAATATATTAATAATTTATGTTCTGCTAATGGATTACTCTAACTAGAAAGTTTACCATTCCAAATATGAGGGTAGAATTTTGTTGCACTATATTTTCTATTTACTGATAAAAATTATGTTTATGCTACAAATACCATTGATTCTTGATATTATTGTTTCTTTCCTATTTAACCCAGAAATCTTTTTAAAAAAAATTAGAGATAGTTTATTTTAAATTTTTCTCTAATTTTTAAACATTACTTCTAAGCAATAAGAGGAGCTTGATGTCTTAGTATTAGAACATCTTGGTCCTTACTGTGATTTCTTATTTGAGAAAACATTGATCAAAATGACATTCCCATAATATCAGGAGAGATACAAATATGAATTCAAAGTGTATAAAGTTACATGACAGATTTGATTTATTTTAACAAATAGTCAGTGCACAAATTCTTATCACTGTTTGCCATTCACTTACCATGGAGAAATTTAATGAGGGACACATAAAACTCAATGTTGCCAGTTTTTAGATATGCTTCACCTAGGGATGTCAGTAAAGTACATAATTTCATTAAAACACCAGTGAAATATAGAAAAGATAACATTTAATTGAAATTCTTTCCTCTTCTGTTTCACTCTCCTGTTGTTTTAGTTAGTTTTTCATAGCTGTGACCAAAAAAAAAAAAATAAGAATAACAATTTAGAGGAGGAAAAGATTATTTTGGCTTATGTATTCAGAGGTTCAGTACATGGTTGGCCAACTCCATAGCTCTGGACCCAATGTGAAGCAGAACACATGGCAGAGGGCCTGACAGAGGAAAACAGCTCAGAATATGGCAACCAGGAAGCAGAGAGCAAGCTCTACTCACTAAGAAAATATATAAACCCCCATGTCATGCCCTCAGTGACCTACTTATTCCAGTCATACCCTATATGCACACAGTTACTGTCCAATCAATCCCCAACAGGTCGTAACTCCCATAATCCAATCATTTCACTTCTGAATACTCTCATATTACCTCACACGTGAACTTTTAGCCGACACCTCATATCTAAAGCATAACACATGTAATGGAGTTACTTAATCTTAATCAAGTTGCTCCTAAGAAAGAGCTAAACAACAAATTGTAATTCTTTCCTTTGTTTTGATTTTCTTCATCTTAACTTATGTAGGAAAAATGTATTGGCTGCAGACAACTACTTATATTATCTTGCAGCATAAATAAAGATGACATATAAGTCAACCCAGGATATATATTTATAAGACCAGCTTGTATTTAAGTATTGTAGGTACTGCTGATGTGATGTAATTTCAACCTGTTGCCTTGCTCTGTGCCTGTATGCACCATTCTCCTTTTATATGAAAATTAAATCCATCCTATTAAATACTTCCCTCATCTGTTCAACGATTCCTTAAAGAATTCTACATTAGAGATAAGTTTGAGAAGGACTTGTTCTGGAACAAAGTTAAACTAAACCCATCTCTTCTACAAATAGTGAAAAAAATATTATTCATTATTTACATGCTAGATTAGTTTATCATATCCTTTAAGAGAGCATATTTGCAAACATGGAAAATTGAGTGGGCCTGGGGTCTGGCTGTTGAAAGAAACCCTTTGTGTTTTAATCAGCTTTTTCGGTGCTGTGACTAAAGGATCTGACCAGAACAACTCTAAGAAGGAAAAGTTTATTTGAGGGCTCACAGTTTCAGAGGTCTTAGTCCATAGAAGGGTGGCTCCATTCCTCAGGGCTTGAGGTGAGGCAGGATATCATGGCAGAAGAGGGTGGTGGAGGGAAACAGCTCACATCGTGGTGATCAGGAAACACAGAGAGACTCCGCTCTTCAGATACAAAATGTATATATCCCAAAGCCATGCACTGAGTTCTCACATCCAGCCAAACCCTACCACTTCAGTTACCACTCAGTTAATCCCATCAGAGATTAATTCATTGATTGGGTTGAGATTCTCACACCCCAGATTTTAATAAAGTAATAAAGTCAATGTAATAAAGTCATTTTCTTTAGCCCTCTTTAAAGTTTTTATAAAATTTTTTAAGTATGAAGGTGAAATGATCAAATTTGCCAGGATTATTTAAGTAATATAAGAATGAGTTGTAGATGGGTTCAGTGGCACACACCTGTAATCTTAGCTGCTCAAGTGGCTGAGGCAGGAAGATTAGGAGTTTAGAGCCAGTTTTAGCAAAAGTTAGGTAATAAGCAACTCAGTGAGACCCAGTCTCTAAATAAAATACAGAATGTGGCTGGTGAGGAGGCTCAGTGGTCAAGTGCCCCTGAGTTCAATCCCTAGTACCAATAAATAAATACATAGAATGATTTTTAAATAAAGCTTTTAAATTTAATTACAAGTCAGAAAACTGAAAGCCAAATAAATTAATCTAAATTCATTTCAAATTTTATATTTTTCTCTTTTAAATGTCATTAATAGATCAAATACTATTGTCTATTTCTAAAGTTATGTATTTTGTATAACTTCAATGCATAACTAAAAGCATTCTATCATAAAAGTTGCATTGGTAAGAAATTTAAGGTTCTTTTATTTTTTTATTCGTTTAACAGACTATATAAAATGCTAATGAATTTTCTCTCCCAAGAATGCATAGCTATATAGTAATTTCTTTACCAGAATAATAGAGAACTCAGAAAGATCTTGAAATAAAATGGCATGTTTTAAGAACTGAAAATTTTGATCTGGGTACACATAAGTATTTATTATTTCAAATTGTAAGGCATGCATAAAATGTTGTGTCATATTCGCAAGTGTTATGGAAAATTTGCATATTTAATAAGGATAAATTTGAGGAACTCCAGGCATATTTTGTATTAATATTTTGACAATAAGTGTTAAGTAAATTTTCCAAAAATTCAAGAAATCTCAGTTTCAATGCTAATAATGATAATGAAAGACAGAACTGCTCATTAATGATTTCTAGGGGCAATTCAAAAAGTGTAAAAGCAATGGCTTTCTTATGAACAAGATTTGAAGAGACTTGTTTTTTAAATTTAGTAACTGGAAATTAAGTGCTGCAACAAATATAACTTGCAGATTATTCCTTTTTAATTTTTACTTATTTATTTAATTTTGGTACCAGAGGCTTTACCACTGACTCACATCCACAGCACTTTTTTTTATATTTTGTTTAGAGACAGAGTCTTGTTGAGTTTGTTAGGGCCTTGACAAATTGCTGAGACTGACTTTGAACTTGTGATCCTCCTGCATTAGCCTATTGAGCCACTGGGATTACAGGTGTGTGCCATCACACCCAACAAAATTGTTTTTCATCACATAAAATAAACTCTTTCATCACCAAAAATCCTTTATTTTGGTAAAGAAATTACTATATAGCTATGCATTCATGAGAGAGAACATTCATTCAGCATTTTATCTGTTAAATATTAACTTAAATCTATCTTTGAAAATTATATAAAATATTCTGCATCTTCATAGATTTCCTATTAATAAAAAAATTGACACAGATTAACCTACAGTATAAAAACATAGCATAGCATCTATATAGGAAGATAAAGGAAATAAACTAGATAATTAAAATCTAAGGGTAAAATATAATAATTAAGTTAAATACTATTTTTCAAATATACTTGACTCTTCCTATCCCAGATTCTGTATTTGTGGATTCAACCCAATGCAAATTAAAATATTTGAAAAAGGAATTCTATTTGTACCTAAAATGTACAGACTTGTTCTGCGTAGTCATTTTCTAAACAATACAGTGTAAAAGTATGAGAACTTGTGTGTAGGTTTTATGCAGATAGTATGCTATTTTATGTAAGGAACTTGAGCATGCACAGATTTGGGTATCCATGAGAGAACCAATCTCTGATGGATACTGAGCAATGATTGTTGACTACTTTGTCACATTTTACAGTTTTTTAAAATATTAACAGTATTAATATGTGAAAAACTTGGGAAGTGTTAGGAATCAGCATGTCCCAGGTAAGCCAATTGTCAGCCAACACTAGGCAATCCAGGATAAGATGTAAGCATCTCAGCTTCTGATGGCCAGGAGAATTTTGGAAATTCAAGAACTAGGGTACAATCTATGAATCCTATTGTACATCTGCAATGCAGGAACCAGGTGTGAAGTTCAGTGTGGAACCAGAGTGTGAGATGTTAATAATCCCTGTTGAGCCCATGAGCTGGTGGTTTAGAGATGTTGGCCAGACATGGCCTGGTACCCAAATTCCTCCTAGACTGTAAGCTATGAGATCTAAAGATTGAAGATCAGATTGGCCAAAAAATGATAAGTCTGGTGATGCATATTTCAGCAGACTAACATACATGATGAAGGGTATTTCATTTTGAGATTTGGGTTAAAAAATATTCTCATCATTAATGTGCTATTTACTGTATTATCCTTTCTGATATCTTTTAGAGGTCAATGTGGACAAAATCTAATCAAGAGTGATATGGGTGAAACTTCAGAATATATGAAATACATTCCAAAAAATAGTACATACCAAAATTGGTCAAATGTGGAAACGTTTCATTCTTTCACAAGATGATATTGAGGTTTTTAGGCTGAGTTTATCTTATGGCCCCACCTAGAAATTAACAGAAAGAATTCTATTGAGATTATTCAATCCCCCCTTTTTAATATTTTTTGCTTGTTTCCAATTTTTGTGATCTTAGAAAAAAAATCTATAAATTCGCTGCCTACAGAGATTAGTTTTCTAAATTTCTCTATTTCTTTTTCCAAATGTTGAAGATTCTTTTTTATTTCTAGAGTGGGAT